CATTCCCACCAACAGTGGGTTAGTGTCCCTTTTTCCCCACATCCTCGCCAGCATCTGTTGTTGGTAGATTTCTGTATGTGAGCCATTCTAACCAGGGTGAGGTGAAACCTCATTGTGGTTTCGATTTGCATTTCCCTGATTGCTAATGACCTTGAACATTTTTTCATGTGCCTGTTGGCCATTTGGATTTCCTCTTTTGAAAAATGTCTATTGAGGTCCTTGGCCCATCTCTTAAGTGGGTTGTTTGTTTTGATGTTGTGGAGTTTCTTGATTTCTTTGTAGATTCTGGTTATCAACCCTTTATCAGTTGCATAGTTTGCAAATATTTTTTCCCATTCTGTCGGTTGTCTCTTCACTCTCCTGACTGTTTCTTTTGCAGTATAGAAACTTCTCAGTTTGGTGCAATCCTAAATGTTAATTTTAGCTTTGACTGCCTGTGCTTCTGGGGTGTTTTCTAAGAAGTCATTGTCGGTACCTATATCTTGCAGGTTTTTTCCAATGCTCTCTAATAATTTGATGGTGTCAGGTCATAGATTTAAGTCTTTAATCCATGTTGAGTGAATTTTTGTGTAAGGTGAAAGGTAGGGGTCTTGCTTCATGATTCTGAACATGGAAATCCAATTTTCCCAGCACCATTTATTGAATAGACTGTCCTTACTCCAGGGATTGGTTTTGGATCCTTGATCAAATATGAGTTGGCTGTAGATGTTTGGGTTGATTTCTGGTGTTTCTATTCTGTTCCACTGGTCTATCCATCTGTTTCTGTACCAGTACCATGCTGTTTTGATTACAACTGCTCTGTAGTATGTCCTGAAATCTGGTATTGTGATGCCTCCAGCTTTGTTTTTGTTGTACAAGATTGCTTTATCTATTCGAGGTCTCCTGTGTCTCCATATAAATTTCAGCATCATTTTTTCCAGATCTGAGAAGAAGGTCTTCGGTATCTTGATTGGTATTGCATTGAATCTATAAATTGCTTTTGGGAGAATGGACATTTCAATGATTTTGATTCTTCCAATCCATGAGCATGCAGGATTTTTCCTTTTTTTTATGTTAAAGTAACCATGAAAAAAAATCATAACAATTATTATTATCATTATCCATTTCCTAACTTCCTGGAGAATAAAATGAAATTATATGCAGACGTGCATTATGGCACAGCAGGTTAAGCCACCATTTGTGACAACAGCATGTAGTGGTGTGGCGGTTCTGAGCCTTGGCTGCTCTGCTTTCAATCCAACTTCCTGCTAATGAGACTAAGAAGGCAAAAGAAGAAGATCCAAGTATTTGCAGCCCTTGACCCAGGAGGAGATCGGAATAGAGTTCTTGGCTTCTGGCTACCACCTGGTTAAGATCTAGCTGTTGCAACCATTTGGGTGGCATTGGTGGGGGGTGGCATGGGGTATACACCAGTGGATGAAAGATCCATATGTATGTGTGTGTGTTTCCCTTTGTGTCATTCTGCCTTTCAAATAAATAAATCTATAAATATTAGAAAATGACGAGTCAACTTATCTATAAGTTTCATGATAAAGTGCTCCCCCTAAAATTTCTAGTAGAGCACAAACAAAAGCAGTGTAGTATCTCCTATTAGTAAATATCTTTGGTCATTTAGTCCCAATTTCTTTGTAAAAATGAATGTGATGGCTGGTGCTGCGGCTCACTAGACTAATCCTCTGCCTGCAGCACTGGTGCCCCAGTTGCTCCTCTTCCAGTCCAGCTCTCTGCTGTGGCCCGGAAAGGCAGTGGAGGATGGCCCAAGTCCTTGGGCCCTGCACCTGCATGGGAGACCAAGAGGAAGCACCTGGCTCCTGGCTTCGGATCAGCGCAGCGTGCTGGCCGTGGCAGCCATCTGGGGGGTGAACCAACGGAAAGAAGACCTTTCTCTCCGTCTCTCTTTCTCACTAACTCTGCCTATCAAAAAAAAAAAAAAAGAATGTGACAATAACTAAGTATATATTTCTGACAATTCTGCTTACTCAGAGATCTTTATTACATATTGAGGGAACTGGAATAGAACAAGAAGTTATGTATTTCATTACCTAAGTTGGGCTATAATGGAAGATTTATATATGGAAATATATGAAATTTAAGGCAAATAATTAAATTCTTGAGTGCTGTATGTTGGTCAATGAGGCAGTGCCTTTTTTTTTCTTCTTTTTTAATATGCATCATTCCCTTCTGTATAATATGCTCAAGACATGTTTGTTTAATGAATGAGGTACCATGATGGAATGGTAATTGTACATATTTGATTTCTTGAAGACTATTAGGTAAAGATTTTATTTTCCAGTGTTTCATAAAACGAGATTTTACTCCCAAATAAAATATGAAAAATCATCAATAATACAAGAAAATGAGTCACTCTTCAATCATAAATAAAGATGCTGGGCATTAAAGATGAAAAAATGAGGCCGGCGCCGCGGCTCACTAGGCTAATCCTCTGCCTAGCGGCGCCGGCACACCGGGTTCTAGTCCCGGTCGGGGCGCCGGATTCTGTCCCGGTTGCCCCCCTTCCAGGCCAGCCCTCTGCTGTGGCCAGGGAGTGCAGTGGAGGATGGCCCAGGTGCTTGGGCCCTGCACCCCATGGGAGACCAGGAAAAGCACCTGGCTCCTGGCTCCTGCCACCAGATCGGCGCGGTGCGCCGGCCGCAGCGCGCTGGCCACGGCGGCCATTGGAGGGTGAACCAACGGCAAAGGAAGACCTTTCTCTCTGTCTCTCTCTCTCACTGTCCACTCTGCCTGTCAAAAAAAAAAAAAAAAAAAAGATGAAAAAATGAGATTTATTCATGGAGGCAGTAAAAGTAACCGGGATTTTTCAAATATTGCCTGCCATCTTTTTATATCTTTTTATACTGAATTGGAATCAGGTAACACTGGAATAACTCTTCTGTGGTTATCCTGTAAGTGTCATTTCTCACTTCTGTTGACATCTTCTGACTTTGTTCACATTTCTTCCACATTAAAATCTCAAACTCCTGTACAACAGTAGCACTTAATAGTGTGTTGCTATATATACCAATTCCTAATATTTTACTCACTTTTTCTTTTTTACTATTTATGTATTTATTTATTGAAAGAGTTTCAGAGAGAGAAGGAAAGGCAGAGTGAGAGATCTTCCATCAGCTGGTGCACTCCCCAGAGGGCCTCAACAGCCAAGTCTGGGGCAGGCCAAAGCCAGGACACAGGAGCTTTTTCCGGTCTCCTACACGGATACAGAGGCCCAAGAACTTGGGCCATCATCTGCTCTTTTCCCAGGACATTAGCAGGGAGTTGGGTCGGAAGTGAAGCAACCGGGACTTCAACCAGAGTTCATATGAGATACCAGCATCACAAGCAGCAGCGTAAGCCACTATGCCACAATATTAGCCCTATCGTGTTCTTTTCTTTCTTTTTTCTTTTTTTTGGACACTTTTTATTTTTCCAAAAAAAAAAAAACTGTCTTTAATATATAAACATCTCAGTCTCTCAAAAAAATATGTGACAACTATACAGTTGTTTGCTCCATCATATGCATAGGAAATGCCCACAGTACAAAAATACGAGTGAAAAAGAAGCTAAGCAGCAACCACTTTTTTTTTGACAGGCAGAGTTAGACAGTCAGAAAGACAGAGAGACAGAGAGACAGGTCTTCCTTTTGCCATTGGTTCACCCCCAAAATGGCACCACAGCCGGTGCTGCGCCGATCCGAAGCCAGGAGCCAGGTGCTTTCTCCTGGTCTCCCGTGCGGGTGCAGGGCCCAAGGACCTGGGCCATCCTCCACTGCCTTCCCGGGCCACAGCAGACAGCTGGCCTGGAAGAGGAGCAACCAGGACAGAACCAGCGCCCCAACCGGTACTAGAACCCAGGGTGCTGGCGCCGTAGGCGGAGGATTAGCCTAGTGAGCCATGGCGCCGGCCAACAACCAATTTATAATTTTATATAGGTATGTTTCCACGTATAAAGATGTTGAAGTCTCTTATAAAATTTACACCATTTTCCATCTATTTACACATCTTATGAGCAACTTTTCCAACAAAACTATAATTATCAAGTTATGAAAATTGTTCCAAAAGTAATACATTATCATAAAATAAATAAACAATATTTTAAAAAATGAAGTTTTCATTTCAATTACGACCCCTTTTCGCATTTTGCTTATATAGTCTGTATATTCTGCCCTTTGGTTAAAAGTATCAGCATTGTATAACTATTTTGTATTGCATATATGTAACACTTGCTGCCTTAAATTTCAACACGGCATTCCTATTTAAGTAAGACACTAAGTCAGTAGGAACAACAGATTAGCTAAACTACACTTGTAATTTAGATTACATTGCTGTCTCACTGTATATTACATGCAAAATCCACATAAATTGTCATTTACTCAACAAGCAGGCAAACATCTCAGTACATGAAAACTTCACCAAAAATTCAACAGTCATACGTGAAAACTACAGCCCTTCATTAAAAATGATACTGTGCTTAGTTTATTCTAATAAGTTTAACTTTTATATATTATAACTATCTTCAAGCTCTTTGGTCATATAAAAGTCTTCTTGTATTTAAAGCAATGAATTAAATTTGCTTATAAACTTCACATCAATGATTATTATTCCTCCCTCTTAAAGAAATGAATTTGGTGATGATGAGAGGTTTCTTACCACAAATTATAACTGTAAATGCACTGGTGGTTATTTTCCAAAAGAATTATGATTCTTTTCCCAAAAGAACCCTAAAAAAATGTAATAAACTTATAAAGCTGATTTGCATATTTACAAAATCTTGATTAGCAAATATAGGCAACTCACACGAAGCAAGAACAAAACCGCATTTGTTCAACGGCTATTACCTCTCAAGAATTACCTATTCTTGAAAAACCTAATGAAGTCAAGTAACATCATGACAATCAACCCGTCCCTCTTCAGGTACCTGCCAGATGACTTGTTTACTAGACACCGTCCCGTTAAACCACAGTGCCCAGGGAAACTCACCGTTGGCACGCGGGGTGAGGCGGCTGCCCGTCAGGAGATGATGCTGGCTTGAGGAAAGTCATGGACATTCCAGAGAGCCTTCCAGATTCTGCCAATGTCCAAACAGCTCGGGTCTGACGCTGCTCCCCGTGCAGGGCTAGGGTCAGAGTGCAAGCAGCTGGGGTCGCACGCTCTGCACTGGGAGGGCTTGGCGCCTGCCTGCTTCCCAAAGTGGTGGGTCAGCTCGGTAAAGCACGCAAAACTCCAGTCGCAGCCTACCCAGGTGCACTTGTACGGCTCCTCATCAGTATGAGTCCTCAGGTGAGCTTTTAAATAAGACTTTGTATAAACTTTTGTGCAGCCAGGATAATGGCAGGAGTGTTTGTGGCCTTTCTCCAAGTCGCGGTTGCTCTATTGTATCTGACAGGTTGGACGTTTTGCAAATTGACTGGCAGGGAGGTAGGTAAATTTGGATTCTGAATGGCCGGTTTGAAAGCAATTGTAGCAGCAGAGGATGGCGGTGGGGTTATACTTTGCACCATCTCTGCTTGTCTATCGGGACTTCCAGGCTGTGAGCTTGGTGCTGATGGGTCGGTTTCTACCACAACAGGCTGCGGTTGCGCCTGTGGGTGGTGGTGCGGGTGCTTCAGCTCCTCTCGGGCCTGGTTTGCGGCGCCCAGCACCAGCTTAAGTAAGCTGCACGAATACCGGCTCGCCCTGCAGGGCCAGCAGCTGAGGCGCAGGTCCCCAGGAGACGCTCCTGGTCCACCCGCATCACCTTGGGCACCAGTGGGGCGGCTCCGGGCCAGGGTCCAGTGCGCTTCCCACCTATCCACGCTGCCTCGGGCGGCGAGCTCGGCTGGAGGCCGCAGACAGAGGGGGAGAGTTTCCCAGTTGACCCCTCCGTCAACGGCGGGCAGTTTTCGAAGGCGGCGCGCGGGAAAAGCCGAACTCTTCAGCTCCGCCACGAGTAAGCGCCAATGTCCTCCGGAAGGCCTCTTCTCCGCCTCGCCCCACCGCGCTCTCACTCTCCAGAGCCGCTCCAGCCACGGTGGGTCTCCGTGAGGGAGCCCAGAGCTGGAGTACCTGGCCCGCAAATATTTCACTCATTCCTAAAGCTACTGTAGCCTGCTGTTATTTTCTGTTTAACTTTGCTTAGATTCCGTATATGAGTTAAAAACATGCAGTGTTTGTCTTACTGTGGCTAGCTAATTTCACATGCCATAACATCTTCCGCTTTCATGTTTTTACAAATGCCAGGGTTTCCTTCATTTTAAGGTAATATAATATTCCTTTGTGTATATATACCACATTATGTTGGATTCCATAGCGTGATTATTGTGAATGATGCTGTAATGAACATGTGACTGCAAAGGTCTCTGATGTAATTATTCCTTTACTTTTTTTTTTTTTTTTTAAACAGGCAGAGTGGACAGTGTGAGAGAGAGAGAGACAGAGAGAAAGGTCTTCCTTTTGCCGTTGGTTCACCCTCCAATGGCCACTGCGCTGCGGCCGGCGCACCACGCTGATCCGATGGCAGGAGCCAGGTACTTCTCCTGGTCTCCCATGGGGTGCAGGGCCCAAGCACTTGGGCCATCCTCCACTGCACTCCCTGGCCACAGCAGAGAGCTGGCCTGGAAGAGGGGCAACCGGGACAGAATCCGGCGCCCCGACAGGGTCTAGAACCTGCTGTGCGGCACCGCAGGCGGAGGATTAGCCTAGTGAGCCGGTGTGCCGGTTCTCATTTACTTTTGTTATGTACCCAGAAGCATGATTCTTAGATCATACATGAGTCCTTCTAAATTTTTGATAAATCTCCACACAGCCTTCCTTAATGTTTTATAGTTTCACCTTCCCAATAGCTATACACAAGGCATCGCTTCTCTTCACATCCTTGCCTTTGTTATCTTTTGTCATTTTTGATAGTAAGTGTTCTAATAGGTGTTAGTGATATTTCCTGTGGCTTTGATGTGAATTTTCCATATGATTGATGATGCCAAGTATGCTTTCAAATACCCACTGGTAATTTGTATGTATTTGCTGTTGAAAAATGTCTATTTTGGTCCTATGCTCATTTTTAATTGGTAGGTTTTCATCTGTTGAGTTGTGTGATATCTTTATATATTTTGAATATTAACTCTTTATTAGATTATGATTTATAAATATGTCCCTCAGTTCTTTAGATTGTCTCTTCACTTTGATTTTTTCTTCCTTTTCTGTGCAGTTTTTAGTTTGATGAAGCCCAGTTTGTCTATTTTCATGTTTGTCTCATGTTCTGAGACCAAGGTAGTGAGTTTTTCCCCTACCCTTTTTTACTAGTAGTTTTATAATTTCAGATCTTGTATTTAGGTTTTTAATCCACTTTGAGTTGCTATTTGAAAATTATGTCAGTAAAGGTCTAAATCCATTTTTCATGTGGATATCTGTTGCAGTTGATTTCTCAACAATGTGCAGTGGATTCCTTTCTGAGAGGAGGAGAGTGGTGGGGGCAAGAGGCGCAGAGTCACCAGACAGACCCTGGGAGTCGGGTGAAAGTGTACTTGAGGCAAGCAGCCCCCAGACTCGTTTATTTCAGTTAGTGCAACAGCTTATATAGCCAAGACCAGCCAATCTGGTCAAGGGGTGGTCTATGCCCCAACCAATCACAGCTTGTTGCCGGGCAGTTTCCAAAGCCATCCAATCACAGCCTGTTGCCAGTCAGGCTGTTGTTGCCAGGCAGTTTCTGAAACCATCCAATCACGGCTTGCCATCAGTCAGGCTCTGTTGTCATATGGTTTCCTCTGTTGTCATGTGGTTTCTGAAGCCATCGAATCATGGCCTGTTGCCAGACAGTTTCTGTTGTCAGCGGCCATCTTGGCATGACCTTTTCACCTCAGTGGCCATCTTGGCATGAATTTTTCACCTCAGTGGCCATCTTGATATGAACTTTTCACTTCATTCCACCACAGATATCTAGTTTTTTTCCAACACCATTTATTAAATAGACTCTCCTTTCTCTTTTGTGTCCTTGGAAACTTTGTCAAAACTCAATTGACAATAAATGTATAGATTTAGTTTGAGTTTTCTATTCTGTTCCCTTAGTCTATGTTTGTCTTTCTAATGCAGTATTATACCATTTTGATTACTATAGCTTTGCAGTATATATTTCTCTTTTTATTTTTTTCATAGAGAATAGCTTTCCTGAATTTCATATAAAAAAGTTTAAGCCCAAATTGATATTTACCTTCCAGCCACACACCCTCCTTCCTATTTCTGTTCTTCTTTCTTTTCCTTTTAATTTTTGTGATAACATCCTTAATTTACTTCATAGTCACAGACTTAATACTAAACCATAAAGAATTCAACAATGGGATCAGTTCTGTGTCACAGAGGATTCAAACACTGCATGCAGCACTGGCATCTCATATGGGCTCCAATCAAGTCTTGGCTACTCCATTTCCAATCCAGCTCCCTGCTAATGCGCCTGGGAAAGTAGTGAAGACTGGTCCAAATACTTGGGCTCCTGCACCCATTTTGGAGACCCAGATGAAACTCCTAGCTGCTGCCATCAACTTGACCCAGCCCCAGCCATTGTGGCCATTTGGGTAGTGAAACAGCACATGGAATATTTCTCTCCCCCCCCCTCTCTATGCCCTCTCTCTCTGTAGCTCTGCCTTTCAAATAAATAAATAAATCTTTTAAAAAATCCAACAAATATAAAATATAAAGACTACTGTTCACAGCAATATAGTTAAGGACTATAAAATTAATCAAATCTTGAGCTGTCAGTTTCACTTATATGCATTACTTTTTTGATACTGTATTTAAAATTAGCTATAAATCAAAGTAAATATATGGTATTTGCTTTTTGGGGGTATGGCATATTTCACTAAGCATAATGAGTCCCAGCTGCAACCATTTGTTGTGAAGCACTGGGTTTCCTTCTCTTTTATGTCTGAGTAGTGTGCCATTGTGTATACGTACCACATTGGCTTTATCCGGTCATCAATTGATGGCCATCTGGAAGGATTCCATATCTTAACCCTGGTGAACTGAGCTGCAGTAAACATGGAGGTACAGATAGTTCTTTAATATGCTGATTTTGCATCCTTTTGGTAAATTTCCAGAAGTGGCATGGCTGGGTCATATGATGCATCTGTTTTCAAATTCATGAAGAATCTCCGTAAGGCTTGTATTCCATTACATAGCCATCATCTTTTTCTCTGCATTCTTGGCATCATTTGTTATTTTTTACCTTTTGTATGACAGCCATTCTAACTGGGACTAGGTGAAATACTTTGTGGTTTTTATTTGCATTACCCTGATGGCTAGTAATCCTGAGCATCTTTTCATGTGTCTGTTGGCCATTTGTATTTCCTCCTTTGAAAAATTCCTGCTCATGTGCCTTGTCTATTTCTTAACTGAATTGTTGGTTTTGTTGTTGAGTGTCTTGAGCTCTTTATAGATTCTGGGTATTAATCTTTTATCAGATATATAGTTTGAAAATATTTTCTCCAACTTTGTCAGTTGCCTCTTCACTTCATTGTGTTTCCTTTGCTGTGTAGAATTTCTTAGTTTGATGTAATCCTGTATGTCTATTTTTTGCTTTTATTGCCTGTGCTTTTAGGGTCTTGTGCAAGAAGTCTTTATATTTGGCGGTCTCTTACAGAGCTTCCGCTACATTTTCCTCTAGTAATTTGATAGTTTCAGGTCTTGATGCTTGATCTGTTTTGTGTTGATTTTTGTGTAAAGTGTAAGGTAGGGATCTTACTTCATACATCTGAATGCAGAGATCCAATTTTCCCAGTTGAAGAGATGGCCTTAATCCAGAGATTGATTTTAGCTCATTTGTCAAAGATTAGTTGGTTTACATGGATTAACTTCTGGGCTCTTTAATCTATTTCATTAGTTCACGTGGCTATTTTTGTGGCAGCACCATCCCTGAATCCCTATTGTAAATCCTACTTGGTCAGGGTGGGTGATTTTTTTAAAATGTGTTTTTGCATTCAATTTGCTAACATTTTGTTGAGTGAGGATTTTTGCACCTATGCTCATCAGGGATATTGATCTATAGTTCTTTTTCTTTGTTCTTCTTTAAAAATGCTTAGAATTTAGCAGTGAAGTCACCCAGTCCTGGGCTTTTTTTGTTGGGATGCTCTTTATTAGTGATTCAACCTTTGTCTTGGTTATTGATATATTTAGGTTTTCTATGTCTTCATGTCTTCATGTTCCAAAATCCATGTATACTTGTCGGAGTCCAGCTCCAACCAGTCCAAGGGTCCCAAGATGTGAGAGGTATCAGCGGAGGAAGAAATGAGAGGGACAGCAGGGCTGATGGCATGGCTCTAGCTCTTGAGCACCAGTCTTTATTTTTATATCATGTCACATAATGATTCTTGCTTCTTAAAATAACAAGTCTGTTGTCCATTTTCTTAGAACCATTGACCTTGTATTTTATATTGCCTCTAGATTCTATGTCTACATCTAGTTACAGTTTCTTCGCTTTCAAGGGCATATTCAGTGCATGGGTTACAATCATAGATAGGCATTAGATAACAGGCTGCCCACACAAGCCAAGGCCTAGAGTGCTGTTGAGCTATGCAGAAATTGGTTACAGAAGCTAGACTATTACCTTCCTAATCTAATCTTTACTAGAAAACCCAGTGTTCAGAGCAGGCCCTTTTTTGCAGTTCTTTCTTTAACTCTAATTTCTTTATTGTACTTACCGAAAGATTCACTTAGATCTATTCCATAGTTTTGACATCCTAACCATTGTAGTACATATTGAATTAAAGCTTCAATGACATTTATCTTTATTCTAGTGGGACGTATATTCCAGGGAGTCTCTTGCCTTTTAATTCTTTTCCACAAACAGCTCAACCTTGCATAAAGCATTAACCCCTTCTCCTACACTAACATGCTGCTTGATTAAAATTCTACAAAGCAATGGACATTTTGGGGAATATGAGACTAAGTAATCTTCCCTAAAATTAGGAATACAGCAATCATTAGCAGGACCACCAGGAAGCTCCGGCTTTCTTAAGCAGAGTGTAGTTCCCAACAAACCTAAAACCACCAAGAGGACCACAGCTGTCCTTCTCACACCT